ATGCTTTTTTTGTTAAGCCACATGGTTTAACAAGTTACAGTGATATTTATTAACTAATGAATATGAAAAATACTTATGCATTGTGGGTCTCATTTAAGGACAGGGTTTATGGTTGTATACCTGACTTTTTAAACTCATCAATCTATACTTATTTAAGTATTTACATATGGAAATATGCTGCTCTCATTTTATATGTCGTCAGTTGCCATTTTGTATTTTGCCAGTTAATTTATACACCACCCATTTCTGACAGTGTCTCTCATTGGCCATTGGAATCAAAACCTTTCCTATGCAGCTTCTTTCCAACATAAATAAGCATTGCTATTCCCCTCTACAGGTTGCATTTCACAGAAGAGACTGGGAACCTTAGTGTTGGCGATGCACACATACTAACAATTCAGGGGGATTTAAAAGGCTCTTTCAAGCCCCACTGAGCATCAATTTGGAACTTGGTAAAAATGTAGCCTGTAGTTACAAGTAACACTCACCATCTTGGGAAAGGGCTGAGTTCCCAGCAAATTACAGCTAGAAATTATGCAGGTGGCATATTTGAATCTTTCTTTCAATCAGGTTTGACGTGGATGTAGGAATAAGTTGCTATTCCCTGGCCCAGTCATCTGGCCAACCATCTAGTGGGTTTGGATATGTGCAGTTTGGGCCCGAAAAGTCCAGTGTCCAATAAAAACAAGAGCTTAACATGGAAGACCTCGACACAAAGTAGCGTAAACTTACTCCCTGTTCCAGTAAAGACATAGGAAAGAATTCCTCTCTGTGTAACACTAAGGAAATGTGATGACATATTGGGTCTCACACTGAATCCGTGAAAGCAGAAGTTTTTGCAAAGGCTAAAATGCACTACTTGGATTCCTTTCCCAGCAGCGAATGCTAGCATTGCACAACAGGTGAGTCTTAGAAACCCGAGTGGATCAGCGGGAGACGTCATCTGGCCGAGAACAGGGATGCGTGGGTTGCTTCTCAAAGTTCACACCAGAGAAGTACGCAACCTAGTTTAGGCGTCCACACTGTATCTGCCTGTTGTGAATTAAGTTTGAAATATCTTCTCCTGACGTGTGGCATTTCACCTTGTGCTCCTTCTCTGTGCTTGCCCATCTGTTTTGAGGCAGCTTGGCACCAGCAACTGATTCGTCTTGGAAATTTTCTGGTTGAACCGGTCATCGGTGCACATTAATCTCAGCAAAATTGCAGGTGGAAGCCCACGTCAAGTGTCCCGCTTACTGCCTTGCGAGTGTCCTCATCACAAGTACTATAACAGTGGAGTTTACTTCCCTCCAGGGACCTCCTTGATTTCTGCATGTCCCCAGCCCCCCATCCTACTTCTGGGATAAGAGCCCTTGGCTTGTTTGCATATTTCGGGCTGTTCAGGCTCCTGTTTAGCATTTGTTTTTCTTGGCATTTCAAAGCATTATGCTCATTTTTATTACACCCTTGACAGACCAAATCCTAGAGCCAGCAAGCCACAAAGAAACAAACACTTACAATTTATAGAAGTTCAGATTATATTTTCCGTGGGGTCTAGAAGTTTCATCACCTGGTAAAATACTTCAGGCTGGACAGTAGCTTCCAGTGTACTTATGTGACCTCAAAATCTCCTCTGATGTTTCTCTCAGTCACTTTCTGCTCTTTCTGTCCTTGCCTCTCCATACACAAATACTCAAAAGTGATCCACACATAGTAACACAAACAAGCAAATACAAGCATACAACCATATACAGATGCACACAAGCACACACACACACACACACACACACACACACACACCACACACACACACACACCCCAGACCCCTAAACTAAAATTAAACTCTGGTGTGGATCCATGTTAACTTCAGAACGCAAACATGAACCTAGCTATTTTAGCACTAAACTCAACTGTTACTTTTAAAGTCAGGGAAAGACATGGAGTCACAGTCATTTCAAAACAGACAATAAATAAATTTCCCTTAAAACCTTAATCTTCTGGGGGGGGGGGGATCTTTGGGCTCAGATACACACATATTCTCTCACCAAACGTCTTAGTTTCCAACTCTCATCTGGCCTGGCTGTTGAGGCTCCTCCCACAGTTCACTGTCAAGCATCCAGAAGTTAAGCACCTTCAGAGCACCAATGTTGGATGACGCCTATGCATAAAACTGTGCATCTCAGAAGTGTATGAAACAGAATCTTTGTTCTTAAGAGAATGAATCTAGTGAAGAGATAAAATCTGACAGTTGGAGCAATTAATACAGCATGCTGCCCTCTGATAAGAACTCATAATCTTGGTGCGCATCTACCCATCTCTCTCTCCCTCTCTCTCTCTCTCTCCCTCCCTCCCTCCCTCCCTCTCTCTCTCTCTCTCTCTCCCTGCCTTTCCTTTCCCCTTCCCCTCCATAATCCTCCAAATAAATATTTCAATCTCACTCAAAAAAAAAAAAAGAACTCATAATCTTAATACATGAATCATATTCCATTGGTCCTCACAGTGAAGCCACAGAGGAAAGAAAGTGACATACAGACAGAGATGTGAAAGGAATTTCTGGGATTTGGGTAGCATGTTCTTCTGTAATCAGGGTGCATGTGGTTATTTCTAACAGTGTTTTAAAGTTTACATGCAATTAATTCTATGTTCCCACATGATCAAAACCAAGTCAATGTGAACCTAACATATAATAAACATTACAAGTAAAACAGGAAACTTAGAGACCTTGAACAGTATCCTCAAGGCAGTGCAAGTGACTTGAGTCCCTCAGTTGCTAGGCTTATATTTTTGAACCTCAAACAACACTATTCAATGTACCTTCTTAATGGTACATCCTGATTTAAAAATGGAAACTGCTATCTCTTGCCCAGAAATTAAATTCTATCTTCTCCAAAGTTGCCTTTAAGGTCTGAACTTTCATCTGTGATCACTAACTGCAGAATATCTTTGGATGGGACTTGGAATAAACAATTCACGCTCTGGAACATAGGCAGGCCTCATCCTGCCTGCTGATGGCCCAAATAAGCTGAAAACAGGAAATTTTTCTGAGCAATAGAGACTTCTCCAAGAACTTGGCCTAAGACCATCTTCTGATCTTAAGTATCTTGCCTGTTGGTTCTCTAAACAGAACTGTACGTTCAGCTCTCCTGCATCTTCCTCCTATTGACCACCACTGTAAACTTTGGACTCAGCAGCCTCTAAAACAACATGAATTAAATTCTACTCATACATTTTTCTCTATATACAATTATAAAGAATTTGCTTCTCTGGAGGACACTGGTAAAACCCATCCATGACAACATAAGTTACCCAGAAGCCCAGAATCTGAGAGCAACACACTGACTTCCTCACAGCAGGTACAGCATCCCAGATCCCTCTGCATCAGACCTGTTCCCAGGATGCAGTAAGGACTCTGCCTGCCTTGAAGGCTTTTTTGGAGAGAGATGTTCTTTGAAGCGTATTGGCATGGTTGTCAATAGAATTCAGTTGCTTGAGCAATGCTGGGAGATGGAACTTGGTCATCCCTGGCTGTCAGTCACAGGACATCTCATTTTAGAGTTCCATGATCCTTTCTTTAGGGCAGGTGGTTATGTGGTAGTTTGTACACAGAACAAGTCCACAGAAAGAGTCAGAGAGAGGGAGCCAGCAAGAATTAATCCACAGAATTTAGGAGACAATCATGGAGGGCGCATCTCCTCACTTTTGCTATGTTCTTCTTGTCAGAAGAAGGTTCCTGTGTCCATTGTGTCCTTGAGGAGGGATAGTGACACACGGGCATTAATACCAGGGGGTAGCAATGATCTTTGGGAGCCAATCAAAAGCTGCTTATTCTACCCATCCAACAGAATCTCCCCCTTTTTTCTAAGAATGCTCAAGTCAACCTGGAGAACCCCAGCTTGGCTCTATATCCACCTTGACTTGAAGATACCCTGCTTGTTCCCACACTCAGCACAACCTCACGAACCCCGACTTTGGCATTAAGCATGCTTATCCCATTTACTGGCTGGAGTTCTCCCTACAGGCCTGTTCTTTTTTTCTCTCTACTGAAACATTTCTGTAACCATGGATAATGTTTAAAAAGATTTCTATAAGCTTCATTTTATAACATATGAGTGTTTCCTGAGCAATATTATCTTTAACTTCAGAAGATGCATGAGCTCAACTTGTATCACTAGTCACTAGTATCATTAGAGAAAACACACCTAGTTTTCTCAAAGACTTCCTGCTCAGAAGCCTTGGCAGTCATGTGGGTGGCAGTCAGGTCTTGCAGGACAGCTGGACACTGAACAATGGCTATCTTTATCAAAAGTTAAAAACTGTTAAAACCATAGTGGCAGAAACAGAAATATAAGTTAATTCAAAGGGAAACATTTTTTCCCTTGAGGCAATCACTGGTGGTTTTGGCTCCTGGTTTCTGTTTCAGAAAGCATTTGTTGTATTTATTTCCTTACTGCCTTTTGGGTTGTTTTTTTCTGTTTTTTTTTTTCAGGGTGTTTGAGATAGGGTTTCTCTATGTCACAGTCTTGCTCTCCTGGAACTCACTTTGTAGATAAAGCTGGACTCGAACTCATGGAGATCTGCCTGCCTCTGTCTCCTAAGTATTGGTATTAAAGGTGTATGTCACTACTGCCTGGTTAACTGCCTTCTTTCTATTCCATTGAGGTCAGTTCCATTTCAAAGATTTATTTAAGGCTGGTTTTCTGTCATGCCACCTTCTCATGGACGTATTTATCTTTCTGAGTAAAACAAAAACTTAAAAACCAACAATTAAATGGCCCTAGACTAACACAAGTGAAACAGAGTCAGAGCTACATGCCTGTTTGAAAACAGTTTTCTTTGACCTAATAGAGAAAGGGGAAAACAAAGACATAAGCCTATACATTTTCACATTCTGAGTCATGAGACTTTAAAAATAGCACACGGAACTAAGTTCATTATGATATAGTTAATGTTATTACTAATTCCTCACTTCCTAATATTGGTTTTCTTATTTATCAATTGCTCTACTGTTGTTTGATTTCCAGATGGGCATTGTGTCTGAGAACAGCATCAGCAATAACCATGATATAAAAGCTTAAAAACCAAGTTCCAAGGGAAGAGAATGACATATATGCAGAGATCAACTTTTAATTTATATTTTTAAAAGAATGTATTGAGTCAAGAGGAGAATTCAACAGCACAGTCACAGGGAAGACCACTGCTAACGTGGTTACTTCAGCCTCAGAAAAGTTAGAGATTAATATTTTGGCAAGAACCATGTCTTTGGAGATACTAAAAGAAATGACCACAAAGATAGCAAGAATAGCCACAAAAAGCAGTAACTCACGTTGCTTTGGAAGCCTTCCTCAGGGATGAGCTAGCACGGGCATCAGAGGATCGGGAAGAAGGAATAACTACGGAAGGGGGAAAGTCACTCCCATTAATCAATGGCCAAGGCCACTGTGTTCAGTCACCAGTGTAAACGAGGGGCAAGACAATCACATGTAAGAGGGACAGTCGCAGTCACTGGTGTTCACTCCTATGTGCTTGTGCGCCCTCTCTCCTGCCTGTGTAAATCATCCAGAGGTAGGATTGGGAGACCACATGACTAATAAGAGTACTAGGAAAAAGTTTATGGAAGCTTTTTGAAATATCATTCTGTCTTAGTTTTGTTGTTCGTTTAGGTGTTTTGTTTTGTTTTAGAATGTACATTTTCATCTGCTTTTGCTATTTGGTTCCCCTCTTCCCTTGGAAAATCCTCTCAAATACCCCGCTTTGCTCTGTGTTGAATTCACGGCTTCTTTTTTGAATTGCTGTTGTTGTGTGCTCTTAACCACATAAAGGGAACCACACACAGACTGAGCAAGTTATATTTCTGTAATTGTTTTCTAGGCTAACCATTTCACATCTGATAACAGATTGCTCTACTCTTCCCTGGGGACAGCGATTTCTCCTGCTCTCAATGTTCCTTATTTCCCTATAGTTCTCTGTCTTGGGCAGGAAGCTGAAGCAACTTCAACTTCCTTCAATTGATGAATGGAAAATGAAGATGTGGTAAATATACACTATATAACCCTATTAAACTGTAAGAAAAAAATGAAATATGCACGTAAATGGATGGAACTAGAAAATATCATATTTAGTGAGATAACCCATACCCAGAAATATAAATGCCCAATGTTCTGTCTTTGGAGGCTCTTAATTCCAAATCTTCAGATGATTTGGAAAAAAACAAGTTTGTTTTTGAAGCAAGCTCTCATTATGCAAAGACCTAGCTGGCCTGAAACTTTCAGGTTGGCCTCAAACACACAAAGATCTGCCTGCCTCTGCCTCCCAAATAGGATTAAAGGCACATTCTACCACGTCTAGCTTGTCTTAGTTTTAAAAGCCTCTTGGTTCTAATATCATTGAATTTATCACAAAACCATTGTGCAACAAAGAAACATCTCTGTGTATATTAGAGTTGCTAATATTCTTCCCAGGGTAAATTGAAAACTGAGAAAACTATAGCAGCAAGACAACGGATAAGAGGGACCAAGGAAAAACAAATACCTCACCTCTGTCTTTCCTCAACCTCGGCCTCCCACTAACCAGTTTGTATTGTTTCCATTCACATTTGTTTTATCTTAGGAGAACTATAAAATAAGACCGGCATACTAAAATAGAATAGGGATCTTTGAGAAATTGCAAGTGGTTCTTTGTATACTGGGTTTTGATGAGGAGAGAATTGGAATAGTAGCTATAAAAATACAGAAAGAGAAAAAGCTTAGCAGCTTCATTCCTGCAGTTCCTGGGATATCTGACAAGCCTTGGATAAGTGTTTGCTTGTGCTGGGTGGGTGGTGTGTGAAGAACCGGGAACTAGATGATGAATGTAGTAAGACTAGTTGAATATCATTGGTTAAGATTTCCAGTTAGAGATACTTGCTTTTAATTCCACAAAATATGGCTACAGTTTATACTTTTTTTATTATTATGCTTTTCCAAATTAAGATCTAGTTACTGCTAAAACAAAAGAGGTCTTCAGCATATTATACTCAGTATAGTGGTGGGAGGGCTATGTACAATCACCAGCATTAGAAGACACCAAGGTGCTAACCGTGATTTATTATTAAGTGTCTTATATGACCCTGGCACGTATTTATCGTTAAGTGTCTTGTATGACCCTGGCACATATTTATCGTTAAGTGTCTTGTATGATCCTGACACATATTTATCGTTAATTATCTTGTATGACTCTGGCACATATTTATCGTCATGTATTGTATGATCCTGGCACATATTTATCGTCAAGTGTCTTGTATGATCCTTATACAATGATGAGCACTTAACACAAACTTTTCTTTTTATTGAATGCATACAAAAAAAAAACACAACAGAGAAAACTGCTGGTTATGTTCTCATTTCACAGACGGGAAAACTCTCAAGATGGGCCAAATAAATGGTTTTGTAGAGTATTCCCAGTTGAGGAGTGCAGAATGAAGCTCCAGAAACAGGCTCCCTCTAGCTAAGCCCTCCTACCAACACTCTGGGGAAGAACAGAATCGGAGTGCCAAGCATCAACATCATGCCACTAAGACGAGAGATGCAAACAGTCCTCGATACTTTAGAAAATTAAATAAAGGTTCCCATGGGGACAGATACGTGGGATAATATTTCACTCTTTTGCTCACTGCAGCAAATCTGCAGATGGGATGCGTGTGGGGCTCAGACTTTCACTGACAGCATGTTAAGAAACCACACAGGGTGAGCCGTTTCCCTCCCAACCATGAGCACAAGGGCTCTTGGGGGCAATCAGTGGTCCTCTCGTTCTGTCACATGGAGTAGTGGTTCTCTGGGTGACATTTCCACCAGTCCACAGACATGCAAGGAAAATACAAACCATATGCTATAGATATAGATAAACCCTTGATTGGCATTTCCTCAGTTTGTCTTCTTCCTACAGTATTTGGTGGTGTGCCAACTTTGTTTTTTTCCATGTAGGAAAATGGAAAAAAAAAAGGATACCCACCATTTGATTTGAGATGTTCTTATTCTTCATAATAAAATGCTATTCATTTGGGGAGGCTGAAGAGCTCATTCTATGGGTAAAGCATTTTTTGAGCAATAAATGAAGACCTAAGCTTGGATTTCTACCACCCAGAGAAAAAACAGGGCATGGTGGCACAAAACTAGAACCCCTGCCCCCCGAGTGTTGGGGGACAGAGACAGGCAGACATTGGGGTCTCACCCAACTAAACAGTCAATATCTGGTCTCAAAGAAATGATGTGGAGAGAAACACAAGAAGATACTCAACATTGACCTCTGCCACCCACACACACATGCATATGTAAACATGGACCCATTTCACAGTGTCAAATTTTTAAAAATATGTAGTTACTTTCCATGTTGTACAGGGATTATGAAAAGTCTTAACCACCATTAACTTATGGAAAATGGCATTCTCATTAATAAGTTAGTCACTATTATAAATTTAAAAATGGCTAAGATTCTCCCTTTGGCTGCATGTCCACATAACACAGACTCAACACTGTAACTATTCACCTCCCATTCTCAGGCAAAGTTGTCTGACCTCCTGTTTGGCTCTGCCTGGTCTTGCGCCTTGGCAATACAGGGATGGAACTATTCCATTGTGTTCCAGGCCCTTGATTCCTTTCTCTGACTTTGCCTCTTGAAGCCTGCAGCTACCATACAAACAAACCCAGGCTATCCTATAGAAGAGAAGAAACCTTGTGTCTAGATGCTTCACAATATCCCACCCTTAGGGCTAAGTCCATGCAAAGTCATTAACTTGTAGACTTCCGGGTTAAGGAAATGGATGCTGGCTGAAGTTTCTAAGTTCTAAGGAAAGATGTCACATTGGATGCTTCGCTGACATGGGGACATCCATAGGAGCTGCATTGAAATACGGAATGACAGGAGAATCTCTCACATGTGCAAACTGACATTCAACTCACAGTGATTCCTTAAGATGCCATTCTGTGTAAAGGGGAGCCAAGCAATCACATCTGGTGATCTTATTTTTCAGGGGATCTGTGTGCCTGGACGTTGAGGGGATTAGTAACCGCCCTCACCTACTCATTGCCAGAATAAGTCTAGAAAACTCCAATCGAGAACAGTCCTCCAGAATGGCCCAAGATGGTTCACATGAACCTACCCCCACAGCAATAAACAGATGAATCTATGATACTCCACACAGCACTAAAAGCTGCCTACACAAAGAATAATTCTAAGAGGTGATTTTAATGATCCCCGTGGAAAAATAGAGAGCTTGTTCCTCTTGTTCCATTCTGTTGTATTTTAAGCTAGAAAAGCTCCAAACTAGCAAGACTGAAGTTAGGAGATAAGAGTCCAGAAAACATGGGTGCTGCTCTTGATTTAGCTAAATAGCACCCTTCACACAGTCTTCTTTCTCACTATTCTCGTCTTCCTTATTTGTGAAGTTACAGTGCTGGGGAGAGAGAGAGAGAGAGGGAGGGG